CCAGCCAGTGGAACCGAGACGGACACGTCAAGCCACAGAGGAGTGAAATTATAGAAAGCTGCCTTTGCTTTTTATCAGTATTGATGGACATTGAAAATGATTTAGGAAGACATTGCTGAAGAATCTGAACAAGGGAGTGATTTTATTTCTCCTTACCTAGAATAGTACAATGCATTCATATTTACCTAAAAGAAAAAAATAGATATAATTTGTTACCAGTGTAATACTTAATGTCTCCAGTCCTTATTCTATTAATTTTCTGTTCCACTCTCTGATCTTATACAGGATCCAGATACTGTAGAATTTTTTTTTCTACTAAGTAGAAAACAAAGTAATTTCTTTGTTCTTTAAATAAAATAATTGTTTCACTGTTGGCATATAATTGAATTTAAGCTCACCCTTACTGGTTTTATGGATGGAATACCAGAACAGTGCCTTGGCTTCTTAGGATGAAACTAGCTATTTCCACCTACATAGTTTAACATGTTTAAGAAGAAAATGTTTTTCACTGTTTTGAAACAACATCAGAAAGCAAATTTCCAGCTGGGGCTGCAGCAGTTCCATGGAGTGAGAAGTGTAATATCACTGTAATATCCAACACATCTGTTACAGAATATTGTTATATTCACTGGGCAGTGGACTTCAACAGCTTTTTGGCCTGTTTTCATATGAACTGTTAGTTTTGTTGTCTTCAGCATTTATATTTTCTCTATCTTTAGGGATGCCTGAAAGTCAAGTGAAAGAGAGTGAAAGCTACATGAGCAGCAGTAGCTCCAGCACGGGCAATTCGGTTGCTTGCTTTGGACAGGTCAGTTCCTTTTGCCTGAGAGGGGAAGGAAAAGTTTTACACTTGTGTTTCTGGAAATCTGCTCTGGATATTGACTCATTTGGATGCAGTAAGGCTGGAGTCATAGCTCTTCTCCTTGACACATAGTTCCTGGACACGGCACAGGCATGTGTGCTCTCCCTTTTTCCTTGTGCCTTTTGTTTACAGGCTTGCACTCTAGTGTCAGAAAAAGACAAAACTTACTCCTTGAAGTTTAAATAGAACCAAATACAGATTTGAGAGTCTTGACAAGCGTTGGAGCTGATGTGACGTGCTCTATCGAATTCTGCATCCTGATGAAAGACAGAGCAGACAATATGTGCATATACAATACTTCTGATTTAGTGGTGAAATCTCTGCTCTGCCTCACATCAGAGCATAACAACACAAGCTTTTTAATGCTGGAATCCTTAAATGTGCACTTAGCCTTCTGTAGCCTTTACAGATTGTAACTTTTATTTCTACTAAGACAAGGAGCTAAAGTTAACACTTCAGCCTTCCAGTGCTGCTGGAATCATAGATAACATGATAGATAATAGATTATCATATTAATATCATATCATCACTGGTATCATTAGATAATGATGAAGTATATCATCAGATATACTTCAAGAGTAAAAGGAAAACAATGTCATGCACAAATGTGATTGCACAGCCCTCTCTGAGTGAAGTCGTCCCTTGTCTCTTGCATCCTGATTCTAAAAATGCATCATATAACCCCAGGAAAATGGGATAAAGAAGGCATATTAGGAGAAGGGGGGAAGCTAAAATAATAAGAGTAAGATTTGTCTTACCTTGTTTTTGTCAAGTATCAATACACAGCAAGTGAATATCAAGCTATCCAGCATGCTCTTCGTCAGAGACTGGGTCCTGAATATATCAGCAGTCGTCAAGCTGGAGGAGGACAAAAGGTATGGACAGATATGCATAGATATCTCCACTCACAAAGTAGGGTAAAAAAAGTTACAATAATACTTATTTTTTTGAAGTTAACTTCCCAATAGTAGTTTAATGTGCAGATAAGAAAGCCAGTCAGCGTAGCGTAAATTCTGCCTTTTACTGAGCCACAGGTTCCTTTTACATGTAAATAAAAGACTTAACTTCTTAGTGCTTTATCTTTTACAAGGCAGTATTTATCTTCTTGTAGAACATTGAGATGTTTTTCTTATTTTTTCCCAGCACTGGAATATATGAAGCAGTATATAGCATTGGCTGCATCTTACCCTCCGTAGGGCTCACTAGCTCTGCCTTCCATTGTTTAAGTCATCCTTGTTGTCATATTAAACCCTCATCACAGCTGTTGGAAGAGGCCGAACTGAAAGCTGCACCATCATCGTTTTGTTCACGTTATCTGAACCTTGAACTTGGCTGGGTTTCCTCAGCATCAGATGATGTGTGTAATCCCTCTTTAAAAGAATGCACGTGCAGATGTGTGCACATGTGTATGCATTTATGTATGTATGCTTTATGTATTGGTGCTTTTCCTTTCAGGTCTGTTACATTGAGGGCCACAAGGTAATCAGTCTGGCCAATGAGATGTTTGGCTTCAATGGCTGGGCTCATTCAGTCACTCAGCAGAATGTTGGTAAGTATCTCTTGAAGGTGAGGAAGTCTTTCCTCTTGTTTCACTGTGAGGTGCTGAAGGAAAAGTCTCTCAGATAAGGACCAGGGTATCTATCCTGGAACTTGATCACTTCAGAGAACCTGGGGAGAGGCATGTGGAACATCCACGTGTCTTACCAGTTGGTAAGAACAAGAGAAGCTGAACGGTAATGGACATTCAGTTTTCTTTTTAGGTCTTGCACTGGAATATGTCCTAGTCATTATTTTAAGTGTGTTTATGTTTGTTCTTGAGCTGTTCTAATCAAGTTTTCTGATCTCTATGGGAACACTCGGTGACTAGAGTCAAGAGTAATTACAATTAAACTATTTAACACCCAGCAGCCATGACCCAACTTTCATACTCACCTGTAATTTTTATATTCTAACACATTAATATTCCTCTAGTCGTCAGGGACCAATCTTCTTCTGCAGAGTCTTCTAGCCAATACCTGGCTCTGAATTTTTTTACAGTAGAAAGCTTTGGGAAAAATTCTTATGTAGAAAACAATACTCAAATGATCTTAAAGCTTCTTCTGTCTCAGTAGCTGAAGTAGTAACTACCAGGGGAGAATTATCCTTGTGTGCAGACCTATACTTAGACTGAAGACTGGTGTTGAAGTAGCTTAGCAAAGCTGTGTAAATTTACCTCCTTCCTTCCCCATGACGTACTCAGGCTGGTGGATTCTAGATATGAAACAAATTACCTAGTTGGTTGCCATGTATTCTGTACCACATTTTTTATCCCCTTTTCCATCAAGAAAGAACTGACATCTTTCAAACTTCTGCCTTTTTCAAATAATGCCATAACAAGTATTTCTTAGAAATTCAGAGACAGGGGGTTCTGTTTTGTCTTAGCTTTGGGGTAGAAAAAGAGCTTGCACCTATAGCAGGTTTACAAAACAATTTGTAAAATTGTACACACCAGATGAGTACAGAGGAACTTTTGCACCCCAAGTACAGTTATTTGAACTTCAACGTATTTTGTTTCAGACTTGCCAGGCTGCTGACCAGAGTGCCCTAAGTGTATTACCTTGCATTGCTTTTGGTGTGAAATAAAGTAGATTAGAGAGTCTGGATCGAGAATTGTATTGCAACCTGTTAAGCTCTTCAGGCAGTCTGTCCTGGATAAAACCTTGTGCAAAATTTTGCAAAATGAAGTCTTCTAGTATGTAACAGGAAAGAAATTACTTTTTTAGACAACAGTTTCTTTTCCGTTACTGTTTTTATAAATTGAAACTTTGAATCTTTCCTTCTGGCTGAAAAAAATTGTTATACTTTGAATATTTAGAATATGGAGCTGAATGAGAAATAACATCTACAACTCTTCCTTCTTTCACATGTTTAAGTTTTAACCTGTAGTGGGAGGGTGCAAGTATTTGCCAGGTCTAGCCACTAATAACCAGAAAGTACCACATAACATGCCCAGACCTCACGTGCAAAGCAGTATTCCCAATTTACAGTGAATATTTTATACGTTGTGCTCCATTTTATAGAAAAAGATACAGTATAAGTAGAGTACAGGCTTATGAATGGCCTCAAAGGACAAAATAAGAGCTCAATGTGTTTCAGAAGTCTGCTGTATTGTTTAGAATGTTACTTTTCCTCCCTCAGACTTTGTCGACCTGAACAATGGCAGGTTCTATGTGGGGGTCTGTGCATTCGTGAAAGTTCAGCTTAAGGTAAGTAAGTGGATTTTTTTTGTTTGCTCTGTCTATAGCTGAACAGTTGCCTAAAGCTGTGAATGAAGGTCCACACATAGGTCAGACTGTGGTTCTTAAGTACTGTACCACACCAGAGAACCTAGCAGCATCTGAAACATTGACCTTGCTATAGAACAACCAGCTAAGAGCTTAGGAAAGCACAGCGTCTGACAAGAAGTGCTGTACGTGCAGAAATTCCCTTTTACTTAGTATTTTTCAAATTTTACTGCAGGATGGGTCATACCATGAAGATGTGGGGTATGGAGTCAGTGAAGGCCTGAAGTCTAAGGCCTTGTCCCTAGAAAAGGCAAGAAAGGAGGCAGTAACAGATGGACTGAAGAGGGCACTCAAGTAAGCGAAGATCAGTACTTGTACACTTTCAGGAGTTAAGTGAGAATTAAGTGTTATTTTCAATCTCAGTGAGCTCTCTTTTTTCTCAGGTGCTTTGGGAATGCTCTTGGGAACTGCATCCTGGACAAAGACTACCTACGAGCCGTGAATAAGCTTCCCCACCAGGTGCAGTACAGGGGCTGTTTGAGCAGGGACAGTGAAATGCCCACTGCTCCTTCCTGTGAAAGGGATTGTAAAGAATTATATCAGTGCATATCACCCCTGAATGTTTCCAGCTTTGAGATGAATAAGCCTTTGCTGGCCAGCTTGTGTAAACTGTTTGGTACGGAGTTCTTCCCCAGCATTTTACCACAGCTACTCTAAATTTTGGCTATTTGCAGTAGATTAGTATGGTGAAGAAAGTGCCCTGCTCAAGGTCTCCTGTGGCATTTATGGCCACATTGTCCAAATCTCTCTGTTCAGTGCCAGTAGTGCACACATCTGTGTCCAGAAGGAGAGACAAGAAATTGTGATGTGCAACCATACTGTAACCCCGTCCTTTTAGAGCTGTCACTATTTGTAAGTGTGCTGTGATGGAACAGAACCGTCGTCCTGGCTGCTACCCAGGTTGCGCCTCAGTAACCAACATTAATCTTGTTAGCTCCTGATGTGTACCAGCTGGGGGCAGTAGGCTCCTAGGTGGTAACCTGCCTTCCTGCTTGAGGAAATCAAGTAGGCCCTTTACAACTTCTGATCAGTGGTTTCACAGCAATGTCGCCTTCATCGCACTAGGGTTTACCAAAGGGCTAGCCTGCCTAGAGCTGCAGGGTGGTTCTGTCCAGCTAACTTAGACTGTAGGAGCAGATCTGAAGGGACAGCTCACCAAGTAAGGACAGTGCTTGCCAGGGTCACTGGCTGCTTGCGGCGTTGCCACAGATTTGTAAATCACAGCGTCAGATGATCCCATCTTGAACAAAAAGCAAATGGTGTACTTACCTCAGTGACCTCATGGTTGCAGGACTGAGTAAAGGTTTGCTGGGCCCTTTAATACACACATGAAAAGGGAACCGGCCAAACTAACAGAAGTGTGAGAGGGTGGGAGAGGCGGCAGAGCTGCGTGGCCGCCCCTGGGGCTGTGCCATGCGCACAGGGCACGGGCTGGGGCGACTGGGCCATGGGCCCTGACACAGCACTGCTGAGCTGACACCCAGTCGCCTGAATTCAGTGATCAGCTGAATGACTTCGTACTGAAAACCCATTTCAGTTTTCCAGCTTACTGAGTTTTCAACAGTACTGTATAGAAAAAGCCTGTGCATATTTCATTAACTTGATGAAGAAAATTTCTGCATATAGTTCTTTTCTTTCTTCACTAGATACCCTCCGAGATAGATCTGGTCAAAGCTAAAAGACAGGACTATGAGCCTGAAATAGAGAAAGCAAGATACAATAGCTGCTTGGAAAGGCAGAACGCAGGAGAGAGGCAACATTGTGAGATGGCATCTGACTGCAAGCAGGGTCAGGCAGAGGCTGCTGCAGTGACAGTAGATCAGAAACAGCCAAATAGTTCCAGGTAAGACTGCTATTATAAATTTATTTGACAAGCCACATTAGAAATTGCTGTACTTTTTAAAACACATGGACAGCCCAGTTCAGAAGATGCCATAAAACGCTAGTCCAGTGGATTCTCCTTGCTGTTATTTCTTTATGCATTTTTTCTTTGTAAAATGTAATTGCTGAAATCCTGTTTAACTCTGTGCTTACCTGGGGGAGGGGCAGAAGAGCAGACTCCCTACCTGAGCTGGACGCCACTTACCAGAGGAAACTGCGGCAGAAGCAGCTACAGCAGCAGTTCCGGGAACAGATGGAGAAGCAGCACCAGGTTCCAGCAGTTGCTCCCTGCAACAACCCTGAACAGGGTAAGACTTGGCACTGGAACCCGACAGTTTTAATGATAGCTACTGGCAGCCATGTGCTGCCCTCAATGCAGGAGCCCGACCAGTTTCATTTGCTTTTGTGTGGTACCATCAACACACCTTTGAGGCCGAAGGAAGGAGGATTATCATACTTTTTGCCCCCCTATGTTCACAGAGTGGCAGGAACGTCAGTTCTGAACTGCATCATTACAACTGCACCTTTCCAACCCCCGTAAAGCATCCCGCACCACAGCGGCTGCTGTCAGTACCCGTAAGAGGCCGCACCACCTCACTGAGGGGGTTTAGCAGGCAAATAGGTGCTGCATTTGCTAGACCATGTTGCTCTTTACTCATGGGGAGTTCTGGACAGCTGTGTGGTAAGCAGAAACACAGGGATGGGGTAAACAGGCTAAAAAACATCTTAAATACGGCACGCTTGCTCTTGTCAGTTATCATCATGTACAGAATCTTACCGTTCCACATACTGCTACTGAAACATAACCAGCTCTAGTAGAAGTAGCTACCTGGTGGCAGCTGCTGCTTATTTCAGACACTCGCTGTTGAGAAGGAGCAGAAGACTTCTGATTTCTAATGTTAATCCCTTCTTGTGTTACCTCTGCCCATCAGCAGCTGCTCCTCCTGTAAAGCATAGCACTCCAGCAGCAGTACAACAGGAGCCAGCAACAGAAGAAGAGGAGTTCTTCACAGGTCAGCCAAAACGTGATGAGTAATAGAGTGTCAATTCATTAGCATTTACATCAGCTCTTCAGAGTATGGTGTCCAGGTAGGAGTTCTGAAGAGGCTGGAATAATAGAAGTGCGAGTACGAGTCTGATCTTAACAATACAAACCTCGCTTCAGTGGCAGGGAAATGAAGTCCGTACACTTTTCAGTAGAGTTTTTATACCTGTTTGGCAAACCCTTTTCCTGAAGGGATACTGCACAGAAGCAGAACAGCTAGGGGGGTGGCAGGTGGCTTTTCTTAACGTAACCGTGGCTGTTTGGGTCAGGCTTACGCCGCAGCACCTGGACACTGCTTAAATGTGGAGCACAGGGGTTGGTGCTGTTTCCCTGCTGCACACAAAAAGATGAAAAGATGCTTTACAGTGTGACTTTTATAGTGGCCACCTCTTGCAGGAGAAGGGTGGCCTGGTCCTGGAGTTACTGTCATTACTGTAGTACAGTTACTGTCATCTTTGGTTTGGCCACCTTTTCATTCATTCTAGATGATCCTGAACTTTGGGACATTTCCTTGGAGACCATTGATCTTAAGATAACAGGTCACAAAACAGCAGACCCATCCGCTGCACACTGGACACCTGAAACACCCTATGGACATCATCAAATGACTACTCGTAGCAGGACACCTCACAGAACCAGCCACCACAGACCTCCTGCCAGACTCGCGCAGGCGCAGCCACCCGCTACAGCCATGAGCAACAGCAGCGGTGCCAACCAGCACACCCCAGGTACCTGCTACCAAAAAATGACCGAGTCCCAACGGTGGCTCTTGGCTTTGAAAGCAGCACTGTTAGATTAGTTGCTTGGAGTGGGAGAAGCGTTCCTCTTCCCGTGGACCTGCCTGCAGGTGCTGTGAGAGTGGGCTAGGAGAACTGTCTGGTTTTTTCCATCTAATTGTCCTATCAAGGAAGAGCTAGAAAAAGAATTGAGGAGCCCTTTTAGAAGCAGAAAAAAGCTTTAAGAAATTCTATTTCTCACTGTTTCTCTGTTTGGCAGGGCACAGCCCCTACAGGAGAAGTCAAAGCTTGAAGAAAAGGAAGCTAGAACCTACGTAAGACGCCTGGTGGGATCATTACCTCCGTACCAGGTTACATCATAAGACTGCAGCTGGCTGTTCAAATTCTGTGAGGGAGTCCAGTGCATTCATGGTCTTTCCTCTGTGGTATGGTGAAGCAACACAGGAGAGTTTACTACAGCCAGCAAGAACTTCACACATTTCTAGGTTATGACATGTTTCAAATGCCTTTTTCTATAAACAAGCAATCATTTGTGCATCTGCAGCACTAGACAAGTTGACAGTACTTGCAATTTGCCTCAAAAGGTGATGGAATTGATCTTTAAAAGGTGATGCAAGTCACAGCTGCTTTCTCCCTCAGTGCTGCATTTACAGCAGAGAAGAGACTTTTCAGTGAAACGGGGCAAGGGTGGCTTACAGCCAGCTGACAAAGCCTATGAGCTGTGGTGACCCATTGGGTGATGCTGTTTGCCCTGTGGCTGCAGAAGCAGGGTCAGAGCCTCCGCTCCTCCTCAGCTTGTTCCTCAGCCACGTCAGATTCTCCTGCAGCAGCAGGTTGAGCTGTGCCTGTGCCAGAGGGCAGCACGGGGCAGGAGCACGCTGGGACTGCTGCCAGAGCTGCACATAATGGCATCTCAGACAGTGTTTGCTTGGACCCTTTGTAAAATGAATGGGAGCTGCACTTTTGTTTTTAAATAAGCTTTCAACACTTTTCAATAGACAAATAAACATGAATTTTGAATAACAAACCACACTTGTAGCTGTTGGCACCTCTGTACCCTTTGAACAATTACAACTCATTTCCTGTTTAATAAGCTCAAAGTTGCTCATTGTGACTAGTTACCAGCAGGAAGCTGAGGAGCTCACCACCTCCTCCATACGGCTGCTGGGCATCTCCTTTAAGATGGGCAACAGAAAAGCTGAAGCAGGTTTTGAACTTCAAAGCCACAACTGTTCCATCCTGTAAGGTCAAAGAATTTTTAAGCAGTGTTTCAAAGTAGACACAGCAGTGTTTTTCAGAAGCACAGTGCTGGAGGATACCACATGACTGGAAGTTCAGAGCTGGAACAGGAAAAATTACACAAACTCTTTGATTAGTCCTGCCCCAAAATCAGCATCAGATATGAAACAGGACCTTGTTCCTGTGCTTTGCCATCACTGCTTCATCCGGCCAAGTCTCTAAAGCAGTCTAAATGTAAATACATTTGAAGTATTCAACATTTACTCCTGTTCCTCCTACTCTACCTTCACCACTTAATTAGCACTTTTTCTTTAAAAGATTCCTCTACTATCCAGTCCTCCTCAATGTGGCAAAGAACAAGGATTGACTTCAATATGGAAAGCGGAGAAATTATAATTAATTGTAGTGGATTACATCTAAAAAAGTTTCACATTTGACTGCACTGGTTTCTCTCCAATTCAGCGTTGCCTGCAGCCGTCTCAGGGCAGAAGCACATACCAGGTGTCTGAGCCACGTGCCCACTCCTGACCTCAGACACCCCTTAGGAAGGGGACGTGCACACGTTTGGCATTGCTGTCTGCCAAGCTGCTCCAAACTTGCACAGTGAAAAATAGTAAAAGTCTCGTGTAACAATTGCACCACTGTTCTTGACTCTACAGAAACAGTCCCAACGCAGCCATGCTGCCTCTAAGAGAAAGCGCTGCAGCGTGCTCTGCTTTGCAGGGCTGATCCCTCTGAAAAGGGCAGAACTTATACTTGGAACTTTTGGGATTTTTTCCTTTAAGGCCTTACACAGCATGACTCATAAGAGAGACTGTTCTTAAAATGGAAAGAAATGCAGAAGCAATTACTGTTTAGAAATGCCAAATAATTCCTGCAAGCGTACAGCTGCTTGAGAATGACCCTGTAAGGTAGTTCCACTCCTCTACTCCACAAGTACCGTCATATAATAGGAATTCCATACCAAAACTTGCATATGCACTAGGAAGTTTCTCCTCCCCTGCACCCCAGGTGCCCATCCCTGCTCCCTTCCACCCCAGAGGAGAACAGGGGACCCAACAGAAGACGACGCTGCAGTGCCCAGCCCAGGGGCTTCCCCAGCCGAGGCAGCACGCGCTGCTCCAGCCTGGCTGCTCAGAGGAAGCCCAGAGCCACGGCTAGCAGAGCTCCATCTGCGCTTCCAACAGGGACACGCGCCAGGTGCCCGACTGCCGAGGCTGAGCACGTTCCTCAGCTATTTGGTAACTTCTTGACAATCTCATCCATAAAAGCAGTTGTACTGCTTAGACGTTACCCTTCACCCCTTCTCCCTCCCTTCCCCTTCGGCCCCTCCTCCTAAAGAAGATCCATTTATTAATTGTTCTTTGTAGCACCTTGTTTCAGAGGATTCTATTAAAAGGCCAAAATTTAATTACTGATCACTGCTTTTGAGAAGTTAAGGGTCTCATTAAAATGGGTTTCTTGTACATTCCTGTGATAAACTGCAAGATCAGGCAACAGTTAAATCACTCCAGGATGAGGATGGCAAGGTTAGGACCTGCTGCTCAGCAAGAAAACCCACGGCTCAACAAAAGCAGGTTTGGTTTATTTGAATGACTTCATTAAATATTCTACAAAGGTAACAAATTGCAGCACAAAGCGCAATCATACACGAAGCGCAGTGCCTGGGTTTAGTGCAAAACATACAACTAACTATGGCCAGGGAAGCCCAAAGGTTCAATTTTTTTATTTTTATTTTGTACAGTGTACATTGTTAAATAATGTAAAGAAAACGTTTGTAATTCAGAAACAGATTTTATGTGGAAAAAGATACTCAAAGTGTAATATTAAACAAAATAATTTAACAGTTCAGTAGCATTAGTTTATTCCTCTAGACTTCAGTTATTTATCCACAGGAGGGGGGTGGGGGAGAAATCAATGGTAAATAAAACCAGTTCTTGCATAACATTAAGTGAAAAAATGACCTCAAACTTATTAGATCAAAATTAAATAACCACATGCTGCATCCAGCTGGTTGGTTCCCCCGCCATGGATGTTCCCCGTGTGCCATTACTGCCCCTGGCTCCAGAGCACACCTCTTCCCTCTTGCTGGCTGTGTTTGGGGAAGCAGCTCTGCACCCCTTCAGAGGGAGGGGTGGAGGGTCTCTGGTTCATTGCAGCCCCCGGGCTCCCCC